AAAAATAAAAATAGCGACAGATTTAGCGACCAAAATAAATCGTCGCTATAAAATTGGTCGCTATTTCGGTCGCTAAATAAAATTTTTTTCTTTTTTAGCGACGGAATTAAATTCGGTCGCTATTTCGGTTCCTAAATTATAAATTTTGATTTTTTTTAGCGACGGAAATAAATTCAGTCTCTACTTTGGTCGCTAAATTATAAATTTTGATTTTTTCTAGCGACAGAATTTAATTCGGTCGCTAAACATTAGTTAAAATTAGCGACAGAATTGAATTCGGTCACTAAAATAGTAGTTAAATTTAGCGACCGAATTGAATTCGGTCGCTATTTCGGTCGCTAAAGTATAAATTTTGATTTTTTTTAGCGACGGAATTGAATTTGGTCGCTATTTCGGTCGCTAAATTATAAATTTTGATTTTTTTAGCGACAGAATTTAATTCGGTCGCTAAATAGTAGTTAAAATTAGCGACAGAATTGAATTCGGTCGCTAAATAGTAGTTAAAATTAGCGACAGAATTGAATTCGGTCACTAAATATTATTTAAATTTAGCGACAGAATTGAATTCGGTCGCTATTTCGGTCGCGAAATTAGAAATTTTGATTTTTTTTAGTGACAGAATTGAATTTGGTCACTAATTCAGAAATTTTGATTTTTTTTAGCGATGAAATTAAATTTGGTCGCTAAATATTAGTTAAAATTAGTGACGAAATTGAATTCAGTCTCTAAATCAGAAATTTTGATTTTTTTAGCGATAGAATTAAATTCGATCTCTAAATATTAGTTACAATTAGCGGCGTAATTCTATTCGGTCTCTAAATATTAGTTAAAATTAGCAATAGAATTCTATTCGGTCGCTAAATATTAGTTAAAATTAGAGACAAAATTCGATTTGGTCACTAAGTAAAACTTAAAAAAATTTATAAATTGCTTAAAAGTGATGATAATATTGTTGTTGAGTATCAATCCCATTTTCTTTTTTTTGTAAGAGCAAGACATTATTTTATATTAAAAAAATATTTATATGCACTCCTACATAATTAATACCAATAGTTATTTATGTGAAAAAATTTAGAGGTTTTTTTTATGATTGGATTTTTAGGCAGTTTTTTAATTAGAGAATATGAATTTTAAAATTTCTTATTTATTTTGATCCATATTTATAATATATATTTCTAACTTATGATAACTTTATTTTTAAATAAATTTTTATATTTAAATTTTAAAGGGTTGTTTCTCTCCAGGTGGAGATGGTAGGGTTGTGGCCGAAAATAGCCAAGGAGACTAAGGAAAATATTAAGGCAAAAAAGGCTCACTCAATATTATAATTCCAAAGTATTTACAAGGTGTAGTGCCTAAGGTATTTATAGGAGTGGGAGGCACCTAGGGTTGCATTTAGGGTTGCACTGGCCAAAATTTACAATGCCAAATGCACATCAAATGAAACCCAAATTAACCCTAGATGCAACTTGGTGGCCAAGGATAGAATCTTTGGGTTTAGTTAGGCTACATCTAGGTGCATGATAAGACCATGCAACCTTTGCCCTCCACTTGGGCCTAAGCCTTTCTAAGTTCAAAAATAGGTCCAAACACCACCAAAAATGCATCTAGCTCCCTAATTAAATACCTTAGCCCAAAATTAAAAACCTATGATCTAAAGCACCCCATAATACAAGGGTAAAATGAAAAATACAAAAGAAAATAAATTCTATGTCTAAGATACCCAAAATACAAGGGTGGAAATGTGAAATTTAAAGATAAGGGCAAAATAGGAATAAATTTTATGCTAATAAAAACGTAGGAGATAAGGCCCAAAAGTAGGCTCACTCCTCTTAGGATTTTCAAAACTAACACATTCCTCTTGCCTCTTTCAAAATATCACATCTTGGTCTTCTTAGCCTTAGTGTGATTCCATCACCAGGTTTGATTTATGTGATGATACAATAAAGCACACCAAACAGTGGTGTATAGCGTGGGGAAAAAAACTTCAAAGCAATAATTGGTATAAACATTCTTCAATGCAGAATTATGCAATGGTACAAAGCTACAAAATACTAAAATATGGCAATCAAATAGTCGTTGGATCCAAGGTTTTCTCTAGCTTGAAGCAAACCATGTTGATAATTCCCATTGATATTGTTAATTTAATTTGCCATGACCATATATGTTAAATAGTAGCCAAACCAATCTCTTTCCCCCTTCTTGTTGGGTTATACAATCCAAAACCAAATGTCATGGCAACGTTGACGTAGCATTATCAAATGAGAAATGTTGCTTAGAAATTCTTGTTCTTTAATCAAAGTAACCAACCCCCTTAGGGTGAAGCAAGGTATCAAATGGAGCATGTATTTTACTTGCAATTGAAGGTAAATTGGGAAACTTCGTTTTGCTACGTAGTCCTTAAAATAATTCTAGCCCTTTTGGGTTTTAAAGCGTTGTATAAAAACCAACGGTTCCCAAATTAAGTATGAGAGTGAGTGAGAGCATAGTTTTAAAAATCGGACTGGTCATCGAACCGGTTAAGGTACTGGGTCAGTGGATCAAAGGTTGAACCGGTGGGTCACTAGTTGAACTGCATGACTCGATTTTTATTTATTTTTATTAAAAAAATATTCATATTAAATATATTTTATACTTATAAATTTTAATAAATTCATATTTTGTTTTAAATTTCAATTTTTCTATCTTATTTAAAATTATTTTTATTTTTATTTTGTAAAAAAATATATACAAAATTACATGTTAAACTATATATTAATAAAAATTAAAAATATAAATAATATGTACATATATAATATGCTTGCAATTGATATCACAAAATAATATATGTAATATCTACATAGATATTATATTATTAAATATATAATTTAAAATTAATAATATACTATAAAAGTTATTTAAGTTGTATATATTATAAACAAATACATTAGAACAAGTAGTCATTGTTATATTTAATAAGAATCTTTGTTCTTCTATTAAGAGATTCAATTTTCATTATTATTTTTGTGGTTTATGGTCCCTTAAAAAAATTTAAAAAACAATAAGAAAAAAAGTGGTTGAACCGGTTTGACTCACCGGTTCACCGGTTGAACCAGAAAATTGACCGGTTCAATCCGGTTTGAAACAGGTCGACTGCATAACCAATCCAACTTAAGATTCAGACCGGCTAGACCACCGGTTCCTAGTCCAACCGGTCCGACCGGCTGGTTCGATCCGGGTTTTTAAATCTGAGTGAAAGGGTTGCAGCATCTGGCATGCACACCAATCACCTAAAAGAAATTTGAAAAGACATTAATCTTTTTTATTTTATGAAATATCAGGTAAATTTGTTCATAATAGTTTATTTTAAATTAATTTTTTTAGTCAATCTATTCAAATATTATTAGTGAATATATTAAATATTAAGATGTCATTTGTTCTTATCCATTTTAACCCATTTTCTAAATGAATTGGTCTAGTGCAATTTACTTGCTTAAATGTTTAAAAGTTTTGGTCGATTCGATCCATTACGGGTTGGTGGGCTAAATGGATTAACCTATTAATTCACCTATTTTTTTTTTTATAAAAAAATTACAATTTAAAATAGACTCCAATCTAAAATAACTTCAAATCTAAAATAAGAATGGCCAAAGTAAGTACCATGCATATAACATTAAACCTAATTGAAAAAGTGAATAACTTTAAATAATAAAAGCAAAATAATGAGAATCCTTGTCATTGGAATGATTGTCCATCAATATTAAAATTTCATTAGAGACTTGACTAGATAAATCTATAATAATTTTATGTTATTTAAAATAAACTTTATTTACGTCTATAAATTAAATAAAATGATACCTTATTAAAATAATACATATAACAATAAATGATTAAGTGAGAAGTTGGTGGATTGAACTGATGAGAGTTGTAAGTGGGTTAGGTGGACAACCCGGTCTACCAAGAGTTTAGCACGAGTTGAAAGTGGGTCGAATTGAGTTTTTTAACTAATTAGAAACTTCTTGATTTTTTTTTCGTGGACCAGGTAGGCATGGGCCAAAACACACTTTGAAAACTTTATTAAATATTGTTGCACAAAGTTCATGTACTATAATGTTCTTGTTATGTAAGAAAACCATATTAATGCTAATTAATGTTACATAATTCTATTGGTCTCAATATTAAAAAATATTACATGTAGTGACATACAAAAAAGTCATTATAAATTCAATATATGTATATATAAATTTATTTAATATATATTCACATACAATTTTAATGTTGATTTTGAATGAGATTCAACAAAATATATATATATATATATTGTATTTTAATAATTTTACTGACAAATAATTTTTTATAATACATGCAATATGTTACTGTTAATTATGTTACTCGTAACCTAAAGACTAAAATATGATTTATTTTCATATTATAAATATTAAAAAATTGATTTTAAATTTAAAAGATAAAAAAATAAATTTAAATCCTAGATTTAAAGGATTAAAACATATTTAAATCATTTAAAAAAAATTGAAGATATAACCTCAACAATATGCATAAGAAAATGCTTCATTCTCTATCCTTAATGAGCAAATTTTTTTTAAATAAATGTGCCAAATAAACAAAACCCAGTCAGTTTACTGACTTTTTCAAAGCCTTCCATACTGGAAGTCTACCCTCTTTGACAACAAAATTTCAAAATCTATGCCATCACATGGGATGGCAGGACTCGGCTAATTAGGAAGTTATCATCCTTCTTCCAAATTAAACGTCTAAATGGATTTAATTTTTTTAGGAACTAAATGTTATTTTAATAGTAGGACTAAAGTGCCAATAAACTTCTAACAAAAATACTTACAAGTATCAGGTTAAAAATTTGACCCGTCTAATTTTTTTATCAATATATCAACGACTAGAAATCATGCATGCATCACCTATTTAGTTGCTTCATTCTAAAACTTTCCAAACCCCCTTGACTTTGTATACCTTGCTTTTGTGACATTCATACGAAGGAACATTCCCTTTGCTTCCATAATATATGCTTGCTTTCCAATCCTAGAAAATTCTTTATTATACATCCGTATGTGCTGGGTTGTGACAATCATCGTCTGTGGTATGTTATGTTTTATTCATTGTTGTCCAGATATCAATTTTTTGTAGTTTTATTTATTTATTTTGCATTTGAGGTTTATCTATGTCGTTTTTGTGATATGAATATCAGTGTTGGATAGTTAATTAGATTTCATTTATACGTATGGTTTTGTTCACTCTAACTTTCCTTGTATTCAAGTTTTTTTTTAATCAACCAACAAAATGATTATTTCTGTAGGGTAATCGTTAGTTTTTTTTTTTTTTTTATCATAGTAAGTGAAAATTAATATTGTTCTTGTTATTAATTAACGTTTAGGTTGAAGCTGAAAAGTTATTGAAATGGAGAATCAGAACACAGGGGATAAGAAGTTTGAGAAGTTTACATGGACAATTAGGAACTTCTCTAAATTGGACACCAACAAGTTATATTCAAAGAATTTTTCTCTAGATAACCATACATGGTGCTTGATTGAACTGTGTTCTATATATAATATATATATTTTTTAATTATATTATTGGTACAAAATTACTCTCATAATCTCAATTACGATTTTTTTTATCTATAATACTCAAACTCAATTTTTTTTTATCTATAATACTCAAACTTAAAATTTTGCATAAAAAGACCGAATTCAAATTCATTTAAACTTACGATATGTTGTTATAATGTGGATATTCAATTATTAATATACTCTTTTTGACCTAAATTTCAATTATTTTTAATAAGCTTTGTAATTGTAACTTCCTTTTTAGGCGAATTGCGATCTTTCCAAAGGGAAACAAAGGGCCTGACTTGTCTATATTTTTAGATGCTGGTGGAGATCTTGCTAATTTACCAGATAGCTGGAACAAATTTGCAAAATTTAAGTTGGCTTTAATTAATCAAGTCAATGACAAAATGACGATAATAAGAGGTGTGTGTGACATACTTCTTTCTTTTCATCATGATTCAGCTTTCCGCTATATTATTTGGTTCTTCACATGTTTCTTAGCAATTTCGTATGGAAGCTATGTTTTGGTTTGGCTTTTGCATTTTTGGTAGAAAAATCAGATATTTAACAGGCAATTTTCCTTAACATTCTTTTTTAATAGGAAATTTAAATAAGTAATTCATTTGTTCGAAGAATTTTAAATTTTTAGAAATAAAATATTTTATTTAGATGAAGAATTTATAAAGAATTTAAAATTGAAGTATTTATAAAATTCTTTAAATTAGTAGAATTTCACCCCCGCTCCTATTTTTTTTTTCTTTTTTTTTTCTTTTAAATAAATATGAATAATTTTAAAAAAATAAAAGAAAAGAAAATAATATAAATTTTTACATATAAATATTTTTAATTTTGGTTTATATATATTGTTCTTACCGGAGATTGGTCGCAGGGGACGATCTGCTAGGTAAGATCAGCGAGCCTCCTTCACAGGTACGCTGGTTGCTCCAAGATGGGGGTGGTACCTGCAAAAGAGACTCTAATGCTAAAGTTAGGGTTTGTGGGAGTATCAGTCTCGTATAAATAATGCACGTACCTTAGTATGAATTAGGGTTTTACTGGGCTTTGGGCCCGAGATCAGTTAAGACCTATTTGGGTGACGAGCTGACGTCATACAGCGCGTGTCCGAGGTCGTCCTGCGCTGTGATGTTGAGCTTGGAGCTCAATCGCGGTACGGATAATACATATATATAAAAATAATTTTTTAATTATATTATTAAGAGGGTGGCTAATGCTTCCAAACAAAAAATAAGTGTAAGATGCCATAAATAGATTTCACATTGTAAATCACTACACTTACAAGGTTAAGTTGTCAAGCACAACTAGGCTTGTCATGGAATGCATTTATCATGATTGTGCCTAGAGATGTCGTGCTATATTGTGCACCAGAGAGAAACACTGGGAAATCATGATTCTTAAAGGCCCCCACACATGTGTTTCCCCACTCATCTCACAAGATCATAATAAATTGGGATCACGAATGATTTCTCAAACCATTCCTGAAATTATTGAGGTTGATCCATCCACACCCATCTTAACCATCATAGCCCAGTTCAAGTTCATGATGGGTTAGACAATCAGCTATAGAAACGGATGACTAGGGAAGGAACATGCCATTGAAAACATCTTTGGAAAATGGGAGGAGTTATACAACAAGTTACCAGGTATGTTGCAAGTAATGCAAATGTATGTTTCAGGCTTCATCTAAAAATTAAATGCGCAATAACATGCCAAGGTGGCTTATTGGAGGAAGGGGGTGTTTTCTTCAAAAGGTTATTTTGGACCTTCAAACCATGCATTGATGGTTTTGCCTTTTGCATACTCTAAAAATGGAAGTGGTTGGACAAAAAATAATTTTGTCCATGTCTATTTCATAGTCACATTACACATAATTTCATGCGACGATACAAAAATGCAACATTGAAGAAGGATGTCGTCAACATGAGTAATTTTCTTTTTTCTTGTACTCTATATTATCATTAATATTTTTTTAAAACTTTCTTACTTAGTTTTCATAATTTAATTAATAATTTTTTTGCAGCATATGAGATGATTGAACCTATATTCTTTTATTATTACAACATAGTAAGGGATAATAATGCTGAAGCAGCACAATGGTTGGACAACATTCCAAAGGAAAAATGGATGCAGGCATGGGACATTGGACGACGCTAGGGACACATGACAACAAACCTAGCAAAGTCTATTAATTTAATCTTGAAGAAAACAAGAAACCTGCCAATTTGTCCCATGGTAATAGCGACATACATCTATTACAACAAGTTCTTCGTTGAGAGAGACAAGGAAGTGGATGCAATGATTAATATTGGACATGTCTACTCGGAGATTGCAACTAAAACTATTCAAGATGCACAATCAAAGGCAAACACTCATAGAGTCATCACCTTTGACGGATCAAGCACTAGATTTTTAGTGGAAGAAACCCAACATCCAGGAGAAGTTCAACCCACTAGGAGATTTATAGTAAGGCTAGATGAGATGTGGCATGATTGTGGCAAGTTCTAGAAAGTTCATATCTGTTGCTTGCATGTACTTGTTTCATGCTTACATGCACGCCAAAACTTTGAAAGCTACATATCTCTCATATATACCTTACAACAAGTTTTAAAGGTATACAAAGGACAATTTAGAGAGCTTCGACACAGATTATTGACCTACTTACACTGACCCAACTTTGTGGCCAAATCCGGAACTCAAACGAAATTCCAAGGGTCGCCCCAAGTCCAACAAGATTAGAATAGAGATGGACATTAGAGAACAACATAATTGTGTAAAAAATTGTTCTTATTGTCACACCCCTAGTCACACTAGGAAGACATGTCCAAATATTGATCATGCATTTTAGATTTCACATTGTAAATCACTACACTTACAAGGTTAAGTTGTCAAGCACAACTAGGCTTGTCATGGAATGCATTTATCATGATTGTGCCTAGAGATGTCGTGCTATATTGTGCACCAGAGAGAAACAATTGTATATGAATGGAAGGTAAAAATTGCACAATTTAAATAACTATAACTTTATCGTAAAAGTTAATGAAGGTCCAATGTGATATTAGTACTGTATATGGTTTAGGTAGGTCATAGAGTAGGCTAAGCTGACCACAAGTTGGGTTAACTCACTTTATGAGTCCATGTTGGTTAATTAAGATCATGAACTAATCTTGTTTATTTTTTTCTTATTTTTTTATTGGCCTTGGGCCTTGTAGACTCTTCTTGCCATGATCCACGGGGTTAAGTTGGTAGCGTGAGCCATTATCACTGATTTTTCTTATTATCATTTCTATCATCACACTAGTACAAAAAACCCCTTTTACGTCGGGTATTTGAAGCCTTTTATGTCGGAAAAGCATCTGACGTTAATACGAGAGACGTAAATTTACATCGCCTGTCAAAGACGACATAAATTTACGTCGGAGATTTACCTAACCCGATGTAAAAAGGAGCCTAAAAACATGCCAGAATTTATGTCGGACAAGACCATGTCCGACGTAAATTTACGTCGGCCAACCCCCACACATGTGTTTCCCCACTCATCTCACAAGATCATAATAAATTGGGATCACGAATGATTTCTCAAACCATTTGTGAAATTATTGAGGTTGATCCATCCATACCCATCTCAACCATTATAGCCCACATCAAGTCCGCGATGGGTTATACAATCAGCTACAGAAAGGGATGGCTGTGGAAGCAACATGCCATTGAAAACATCTTTGGCAACTGGGAGGAGTCATACAACAAGTTATCAGGTATGTTGCAAGCAATGTAAATGTATGTTCCAGGATTTATCTGTAAATTAAATACGCAACCGGCATACGAAGGTAGCTTATTGGATGAGGGGAGTGTTTTATTCAAAAGGTTATTTTGGACCTTTAAACCATGCATTGATGGTTTTGCCTTCTACAAACCAATTGTTCAAGTGGATGGAATATTTTATACGACAAATACAAAGGTACGTTATTGGTCACAGTTGCGCAAGACAAACACAACAACATCATTCCTATTACGTTTGTTGTTATTGAAGGTGAAACTAGTGATGCATGATTTTTTCTGAAGAACTTAAGGCGATATGTAACATCGCAATACGAGTTGTGCCTCATTTTGGATCGTCACGAGGCTATTCAAAGTGCATACTCCAGAAATGGAAGTGTTTGGACAAAAAACAATTCTGTCCATGTCTATTGCATTAGACACATTACACAAAATTTCATGCGATGATTCAAAAATGCAACACTAAAGAAGGATGTCGTCAACATGAGTAATTTTATCATTACTATTTTTTCAAGTTTCTTACTTAGTTTTCAAAATTTAATTTTTTTTTCTCCAACATATAGGATGACTGAACCAAGATTATTTTACTATTACAACATAGTAAGAGACAATAATGTTGAAGCAGCACAATGGTTAGACAACATTCCAAGGGAAAATGGACCCTGGCATGGGACAATGGACGACGTTGGGGTTACATGACAACAAACCTAGCAGAGTCTATTAATTCAGTATTGAAAAAAATAAGAAATCTGCCAATTTGTTCCATGGTAATGGCAACATACACCCGTTGCAACAAATTCTTTGTTGAGAGAGGCAGGGAAGTGGATGCAATGATTAATGTGGTCATGTGTACTCGAAAATTGCAAGTAAAACTATTCAAGATGCACAGTCAAAGGCAAATACTCATAGAGTTATCACCTTTGACAGATCAAGCACTAGATTTCTAGTGTAAGAAACGCAACATCCGAGAGAAGTTTGACCCGCTGGGAGATGTACAGTAAGGTTAGATAAGATGTGGTGTGATTGTGACAAGTTCCAGAAAGTTCATATCCCTTGTTCACATGTACTCGCTTCATACTTACATGCACGCCATTACTATGAAACCTACATATCTCCCATATATACCTTACAACAAGTTGCAAAGGTATACAAATGACAGTTTGGAGAGCTCCAACACGAAGATTATTGGCCTACTTACACAGGTCTAACTTTGTGGCCAAATCTAGAACTCAAGAAAACTTCCAAGGGTCCGCCCAAGTTTAGTAGGATTAGAACAAAGATAGACATTAGAGAACAACATAATTGTGTAAAAAAATGTTCCTATTATCACACCTATGGTTACACTTGGAAGTTATGTCCAAATATTGATCATTCATTTAATTCCCGCCAACATTGATCTTTGTTATTGTAATGGATTTTAACTAAATGTATTTTTCATTTTAAATACATTAATATTATTTTTAATACTTCCTAACTTATTTTAATAACTTATAATATATTTAATTTATTATATTTATAACTTATTAAAATTCAAACTTTTTTAAAAAATTAACTTATTAAATTTATTTATTAATAAAATTATAACTTAATAATAAACTAATTTTATTTAAATATTACATTTATTC